TTTGGTGTTTTCAACTGTAATTTTAGTGGTAGATGTAATAATACATTAAAATTAGTTGTTGAAGATATGCAATACTTTTTTTCATGAAAATCCTTTTTAGATTTCAGTTGATGCTGTGCTATGAAGTGATACTACATATATTTTGTATTCTATGCTCATATCCTGTAATAATTGGATGCTTTATAGATCTGCAAGCAGACAGCAGAGAAACCTTTCCGAATTGCCTGCTGAAGATATTTACACAATAACACAATTATTTGTTAGAGATGAGATGATAAGGAGCTTTTATAGCCAGTTATATAATGTAACACTGCCAGATAATGTGCCACTACCGAGTGACACCCTTTTGGGAAAGCCAGGGAACCGCAGTCTGTGGAATTTGGCAAAAGTGGTGATGTTTATGGCGTTCCATTTTTTAAGAGGTAGTTTACAGGAACACCATGGTTGTATGTATTTGTTGACATGTTTTTTGTAGGCAGATGTGGGGTTGCTCCAAACTGGAAGTTGTGTAGTTTACGTAAGTGCTAACCAGAGCTAAACTGGATTAGAGTGGGTTTGTGGCCAGTCATCTCCAAGTGTAGGCAGAGTGGGCTCATATCTCCCTGCAAAACTGTGGAGATGTAGCCTGTTTTAGATACTTCTTTTGAGCCTCGTTTCTGTAATAACAGCATCACAGCTTCTGGGGTGTAGAATTGTAAAGCACCTCTGCTACAGAGGGAAGAAATACTAGAACCTTTTTATGTTATAAAGAACTAATAAGCACAAAGCAACTTCTGCTGAAGGTTGAGCAGAAAATCTGTAACAAAAGCAGCAACTGAGGACAGAGCTTTGGAGACCAATTTTTGATGCTGTATGTGCCTTGGTGTGGTTCTTACCTCACTATGATGCAGCATGTGTTTTAAAATGACCACTTGTGTAACAGGTGGTGTGCTCTGATTCCTTCCTTGATGGATCACTTGACTGCAATCTCTGTTAGGGAGTACAAAGATCCAAATGATGATCACTGCAGAGGGACTACTTTAAAATGAAGAGTGATAGGAAAATAATGTAGTAATTACTTCAGTTTGGTCGGGGTTTTTATTGATTTATTGATTTGGTGATTTTTTTTTTGTTTTTGTTTTTTGTTTTTAATTATTATTTTTTTTTTGGCTATGCATAGAATCAAGAAGAGTAAAGCTTTCAAGAAACAGGCCAGAAAAGGCAATAAAATACAATCCTTGGGTGTTTGAACAGAAGTGAAACAAAGGGAAGATAGGAGGAATTTGCTCGTAGTGGTTAATTACTGTGTTTGCTTTCCTGTTTCAAAATGATCACATATTAAGAATATCCCATGTGTAAGTAAAACATTTTTCATTGAACCATCTTCAAAGAGTGTCATTTACCTGAATAAAGAAAGATATTTAGAAATGCAGTTCAAAGGTTTTGCATTACAATCAGCCTACTGCCTCCTTCATTTTTGTGATTGTGTCTTGACACTTGCAGGTTATTAATGATGTTTTAATTGTGAAATAGTACACATTTAAGGGTGTGAAATTGTTATGTGATTCAGGCCCCAAATGTGTAGTTTCATTTAACTTTTATTCCTTTTTACAATTTCATATCATGCTATAATTCTGAAAATAGTTTTTTAACAGGTTTCAAATGATACATATTTTAGTCCTAGCAGCCCACAATGATAGGCCACACTCTCAAATGGTATAACGTGATGCCATGCTTTTTACTAAATAACTGCTTCCATTTTTTGCTTCCAGGCTTCCTCCATCCTCATTGGTGACTGTGCACAGAAAATACAGGCTACCTGTAGCGGCTCTATCTTAGAAAATTCAGAATATTTTAATTAAGCATTTTTTAAAATTAGTAATTTTTTTTCTGCTTTCCAAAACCAATGACAAATTTTTTTCTGAAGATTGAGACCTATGGGAATTACTGAGAGCTGGCTGGGTGAAAGGATGACTATTTGATAAGTTATATTTGGCTTTTTATGGAATTTTCCTTGGTTCATAAATAAAGAGTAAAAAAGGTCCTACAGCCATTTAGTGATGTTCATAATCAGTTTTATTTCCAGTGTCAATATAAGCTTAGCTGTTTGAAAATTGAGTTATTTTGAAGGATTCTGTTAAATTGTTGTATGACTGTGTGTTATTCTTAGGTCAATGAGAAGTGGTTAGCTTTAGTAACTACCAAAGGCACCTGAAATTAGAGTGTAAGTTGGTCTTACAGCTTTTTTTCCCCCTTTCATTGTGGCATTGGGAAAGCAATAAAGAAATTTATTTATTTATATATTTATATTTATATTTTTATACATATATAAAAATATATAATATTATAATAATATTATATATTTATATAATAAATATATTAATATATAAATATATTATATTTATATATATTTATATTTATAAATAAATAAATAAATAGGGAAAGATAAGGATGGTGGCAATCTTCTAAAAATGCAGAAATTGCAGGTATTCTGAATGTTTTGAAAGCACTTCAACTGCAAAATATCTGAGTGAATTTTCTGCTTGGATTTGGACCAATTAAAACTACAGAATATTTTAAAGACAATTTTTTACTTAAATTTTGTCCTTGTATATATTTATGCAATATCTCTTCACCTGTGTGGTCGCCCACAGCTCAACTTGAGACATCTAAAGTGAAAATGTAAATGGTTTTATCAAAATGTTGGTATTTGATGGACAGAAAGTTTTCTATGCGGATAAGAAAATAGGGTTTATTTTCAGTTTATGAAAAAGTACTTGGACATCTGAAACTAATGAAAGTGATGGAACCTATAGAATGTAGGAATACAGGTGTAGGAGAAGAAAAAGTAGTTAGCAACTCTTCCATCTAGTTAGGCCATGTGGTTTACTTTTATGTGTCTGTTAGCTATGTTTTCTTTTGAGCAGAGAACTGTACAAGGTAAAATCAGTCCAGGCAGTAAGGAAAAGGGTTTTTTTCCATGTAAACTCTAGATAACTCATATTTGAAATGTCACTGTGAATAACTGTTTCTGATAGATTAGCCTGTTTTCAGCTTCTTCCTTGCACCTCTGCTTGTGTTGCTGGGTATTACTGAACCCTTCCTGGATTGCACTATTTTACTCAATTTACTAAGGGAAAGTGGTTGAAGTTGTACAGCCTGATAAATGCAACAGACACCTCTGCTCTGATGAGTCCATTTTGAACAGACTGGGCTCTTCAGGGCTGGGCTTTTTCCCCCCACCCTGCCCAGCTCCATAATGGATAAGCCTGCAGCTGGTTCACAGTTCTGAGGTGCTATCTGAGCAGCAAGCCTTTATTTGCTCGGGATCACTGGATACAATTAGCCCTGTTCTGCCTTCTCCCTCACTCGCACAGTTTCTATAAGAATTAAGATTTCACAAACATTTTGTTCTGCAGGATTTTTTACCAAACTAAACTTTTTCCCTGGTAGATTACCAGAGTGCTAAAGCTAAGTTTAAAATTTTGTATGTCTAACCTTTCCCCCTAATTGCTTGCCCAGAATAAAGGTTTCGTGCTTTGTTCCGAAATTCTCAACATGAGGTGGTGTGCATTAAAGTGTATTTATACTTTCAGATTAATTAACTGTGACCTTATGAACCACTGTCCTTGTTTAATTGGTGGCTCCAAAACACACTAATGGCATAAATAAGCTGATAATGAGATTCAGACTTGCTTTTAAAATATATAATAACAACACTGCATTGATAGAGCAAATGAGATTTGTTGACTGTCTGTTGGTATTACAGGAGAGAAGACACAATTAAATGTGTACTTTCAGGATGGGGGAGGGCTTGGTTGGAATGAATAATATGCACTTCAGAGTGGGTGTATAAAATAAGGAGGATATTCTGCATCAAGATAAGTTTGGTATTCTCTCCTTGTCTCTAGGCACTGTGCAGTACTGGCTGGTGCACTTTAGGATACAGAAATGTTGTGGGAAGGTGTTTCTTAAAGATTACTGGGGGCTAGCAAAAATGACAATTTCATCTTTAAATATAGTTACACGTTTTTAAACTGAGCTTACACCCACTGTTTTATGAACTGAAAATTAATCAGATAGCTCTCTGAGAACAAAAAGGGTTTGACCTAAACTAGTTGCCCAGGCTCCATTACTATTTTCAGTTTAATGTTACCCATATCCATCCTCACATTTTGGAAAGAAAACAAGAGCTGTGCAACAAAGTTTCTTTGTTTTCCTAAGAACTAAAAATGTGCTGTATGTAGACCAAACAATAAAAATAAACTACTGAACTACCTTCTAATGCATGGGGGTTCTGGAGAGAGGAAACCATGGATATTTAGAGGCATAAAGTGAGTCATTGTGCTAGTTAAAGAATTTTATAAGGCAAGCTCTGTGGGTTTGAGTTGCATCTGTTACCTTTCCAACTAGAACTGAGGGGTATGCAGGAAAAAGAATGTTGGATTTAATCATGCCTTATAGTGACTGCATTGTACTTAGGCTAAGCTTCTAACTGGGATCTAGACCATAAGAGAACAAAATCGTTAGTCTTTCTTCTTTGTATAAATTTTGCCTTAGATGCATTCCAATTAAATGACCTAAACAATAATTTTACACCAGGTAAGCTGCAAAATGCTGTTAACAAACTACTTAAATAAAAATAAAAAGTAATAAATGTTCCATAACACTTGAGAAAATAAAAAAAGGAAAAATCTCCAAGCCAGAAACCCCCTCACAGCTATTTTCCTTATTAAAAGATAACCATGCTTGCATTTATGACAGTTCTTAGAAGCCATAATGGGCTGGGTTGCTATGGTGTGAGATGCAGAACAATGAAATAATTGTTTCTCTTGCTATTGGCTTCCTGGAAACAAATTCTGTGTAAATTACTTGGCTGAAAGCGTGACAACAGTCTTGTGTTCTGTTTTATTTGGCTCATGGTTAAAAATCATAACTATTTTATAATAAAAAAAAAAGTAACTTTTATCAGTTCTGGGCTTTCTCTTGTTTAAACTTTTTTTTTCCTTTTATATTTTCAGGTCAGTTTCATGAATTCAAAAGCAACTTACCAGTGATTTCTGGGAGCTGAGGCTGATTTTCTTGTGTATTTGTAAGTATTTATTCTTTTCCCTGTTATGTGCATCTTTCTAATACTCTTTTGACATGGGGAATGGAAGCAATTTTGAACCGTCACTGTTCATTTAGCAAGAATTTGACTTCACTACTTTAAAACTTTTGGTAGATTTTTTTTTGCTACCAACTTATGCTTCTGCCATTCAGAGGAGCTACAAGTACTGAATTAAAAGTAAATATTTATTATTTAAAGCTTTATTTTGTTTTTTTTTTTTTAATAATAACAATGATGGGAGAACAGCTTACAGTAACACATCCATGGTGGCTCTTGCTAATGACACCACTGTGTCATGTTTTTGCAAGGAAAATAATTTCTAGAAAAGAATTGGGGCTGTGACTCAAGACAGACAGGAATTTTAGAGGAAATGCTGTGTGGTGCTATTGAGGAAACACTAGGACGAGCAGCATTTACTGAACTAGGAATACATTTTTATATCCCTTAGAGAAATCTGGCCTTTATGGTTTCAGCAAAATCATGGTCATTGAGGCCACAGCTCAGGAAAATTTTTCAGAATATGCCCAAGGTCAAATATATCAAACTGGACTGCACCTAAACAGAAATACTTTGAGATAAGGAAAGCTAGAGGAGAGAATCTGGGAGGAAGATAGTTATTCATGAAACAAATAGAAAGCTTTCTGAATTGCTGTTTTTGCTGGTCCTCAGCTTTAGTCAAGTATAATAAGGAAAATCTAATGGGCCCTAGACTTGGCACGATATAAATTATTGCAATACCTCATGTATGATGTAGTATAAAAGAAACCAATCTATGCAGCTTGTTCTCTTAAGTCACAAACATAGTTTATGAATAAATATTTATTCAATCATTTGTGGAAAAAGATGTTCACAAAATTGCATTCATCACTGAAAAAATATGGCTGGTACTCTTCTCAACATGGAAATGTGTTCAATTTGTACTAACCCTTCCTCTTTACAAATGTTCATTTTTACATATGGTTTTGCTATTCTATTTGAACTTTCCTTCATTTACAGGTCAGCATTTTTTTAATGAACATTCTCAGTCAGAAATAAAGAAAATATTATCAAATAAGATAAACAGTGTAAAACCAAGTATTACCATTGAAAAATAGTTCTGAGAAGGCAATATAAATTGATTACTGAATTGAGAGGGAGGAATTTGTTATATTCTTTCTGGCTTTGCTACTGCTTATTTTCTTTAAGCAATCAGTTTATTTTCTTAATTTTTCTCTTTTATAAATAGAAATAGTAATATATTAATCTATACAAAGAGTAGCTCTTTATACTTCAATATAGAGCACACTTTCCATGGAATGGAGTAAATTCAGCAGTAGTTTCATGGTGAAGTTTTTGTGTACCAAGCTAATTGGGTGAGAAGTATTGTAAGTATTGTTCAGTTCATGTTCATGTAGTATTACAAACATAGAAAGGTCTTTAATAATTATATTGTAAGCAACTGGTCCGAGTCTTGCTCTTCTTGGCTGACATCAACAAAGAGCTGCAGTAAACAAAAGTGACATAAAAAGGTACTTTGAAAAAAATCGTTGTGTTTAGGTCAATCAAGCAAGTATTTAAGCTTTCATGAGAGGTACTGCCTATTTTGATCACACGACTGCACACTGGCTGTTGCAGGGAAGGCTGTTAGTACAGCTGAGACACCTGACATATTGTGGCTGTGAGAACTGGAATGTGGTTCAGCAGCCTGAGCAACGAAGCTGAGTTGATGGCTGCATGAAATGATGAGCCACAGCCTGGCCTATGACTGGTGTCCTCTGCAACCCAGACCTCAATCACAGTGACATGAATATCTGGAGAAGCCAGCACTGTGCTGACTGTTCTTTGCTTAAGCAACTCATTTTAGTGTTTAGCACTGTATATCTAGAAACATATGCTAACCTTAAGTTCACATAAACTGAAAATAAAATTAAATGTAGGAGGTACTGATGGATTCAGCCCTGAATTTCCTCACCTACAGAGAAAAGCATTGAAGAACAGCTTCTGCAGTAATATAGGTTTAGAATTTCTTAAATCATCTCTATTGTACCTCTCCTAACTTAGAAATATTCTGTACATGACAGATACAGATTCCTACAATGTGGTAACAGGCCTATGTACAATGTCATAAATGAGACTGATAAAATAGAGGACCCGAGGTTCCTTTCCATTCAAAAACTTGATTTCTGCAAATACTTATGCACGTGAGCTGACCATGGAAGGTGATGGACTCAGGATTGGGACCTGAGACTGAACAAATAGGCCCTAAGCAAAGGAGATGGGAGCTTCAGGGGTTGGTGTGGAAGACAAGAAGTTTGCTTGTATAAGAAGTTTTGAGAATAAATTCTAAGAAGTATTTAAAAAATGCTAATGAGAAGTGTATACCTTTATCATGTTAAGCTATAATATTTGGGCATGTTTTTATAGCATGTTTGTTTGATCAGTACTCCAAAGGGAAGGAGTGCAGATCAGTGCTGGGAGATTGATCTTTGAAACTGTGCATATTTTATATGGGAATACAGCAAGATCAGCTAAATGTTGCTATATGTCTATACCAAAGCTATTTCAACCAAGGGCTATGATAACTTTTTCCTCAAATTTTTTAAAGTTTTGTCATAGATGCATTCTGCTGTAACATGTAATTACTTGGATCATCCAGTTCGGGCAACTTTGGGAATTTTTTGTCATATTTGGCTAGTTTTGTTCAGGGGAAAACAGGACTGATGATTCATATGAAAGTAAATTTCATGGAAAATGTGACATTTGTGCTTTTGTTTTATGGCCACAGAGTAATTGTTCTAACTAAATGTTACTTTTTTCAAGAATGTGGTTTTAACATGGTTTAATTTATTTCTTTGTTCTTCTCAAGTAGGTTTTTCCAGTAGTAAACTGCAATAGTTATTTAAAGAGATAAATAGCAAAATAAATGTCATCTAATAACACAGCATTTAAACCCAATTTTACTTGTACATCAGCAATTGGATACATCTTTTTACTAGCAGTTCAGTTTTGGTGTAAACATTTTATTGTGACCTGGCTACAATGTGAAAGCACTGACAGAGTGAGAAAAATAAAACCTGAAATGAGGGGTATTAAAGCCCATGAAGCTTCAGTGTCTTGAGCTCTACAGTGAAAAACCTTGGTTGAAAACTTGGTGAAAGTATTTTTTATTCCCAAATATAATTATATTTATTTAAAAATGAACAACAGGATTTTTATTTTAAGAAGCTTTGAGAACAGAACAAGAAACACTTAGGAAATGCACACATGCACACACATTATGACACAACAAAACTGACATTGTGAATAGGTAAATTTTATCTTTTCAAACACTTACTCTAATCAGCATGTCAACAGAAACATGTTTTGCTTCAAATTTAATATTTTTCCCTAATCTTATTTTTAAGGTGACATAATATATTTTTTTTTTTTTAGTTTAATTTGGACTTTTTCTATTTACACCATGAAGCATCTGACCATAGAGATTTCTGCTTTGTATTTATACCACCTTATTTAAAAGGAGAAAATTATTTTATTGAGAATATTTGTACAAAAAAGTCAAAGAAAGCTCTGCTTATTTGGAGCAAATGAAGACATATATCTTTGGTGCTATTACCTTATGGGTTTAATTGATATCATGTGATGTTCTAGTAAATAGAAATATTTTTTATATGTATATATATAATACAAATATATTAAATATAATTAATAAACAGTAAATATATTTGGCAAAATATGTGGTCTCTACTTTTGACAAAAACAGGATACTGAACCCAAGTCTCAAAAAGTTGAACTCTATTTTTCTCTTCATAAGACAGGGCTGTTAATCAGCATTTTGGTCAAGGAGATGTTTGCCAGCTTATCATGTGCCTCTTTCTTTAAATGAGTGTTTCAAAGTTCCTATTAAGACAGAAAAGTGATGCCTAACTAGAATCTCTGTTTGCTGCAACCTTTTTTTGCTTGTGTGTGCTGGAAGAATCAGAGGCCTTTATCCTCTTCTGCCTCCTTTCCTGCTGACATTGTGACACGCTAATGTAAAATAATCTGGTTGAACCATCATTTTACTAGACCCTCAGCAATTTGAAGTTCTATTTTCCTGGGTTTATTTTATAAATGATGAATATAAAATCCATTTCTAGTGGAACCTTATCTTGCTGTTTTTATGTAAGGGTTGAAACACACAAATTTTCTAATAAGAGAGAAATTTCCAGTATATAACATGTGGTGTAAATCAATAAAAATAAGAAAACAAACTTGAATAATTTTTTTTTTGTCTGAAAATGATTTCCTAAATATACATATCTTAGATGTTCTTAAGAGACAGTAAGTTGAGTAGAAAGAAAATGGAAGCAGGAAAAGCATTTCTTTCTAAAACCTGGTGCCCAAACACATTTGCCAGTGAGGATCTGATAGATGCATTGTTGCATCCATCCAGCTTCATAGTTGTACCTGAAGAGAGGAAGGTGTGGGAAAAGGACTCAAGGGCAGGGAAAGGTGGTTGGGCTAAGAACAGGACAGAACTCAAATACCAAACATTTAGTTTGTTTCTCAGTATCTGAAGTTCTCTCTCCCCAGCCTGTGCATCTAGCTGGGATGTCTGATGGGCTCCCCTGTGTGATTTTATCTCAGGCTGTGTGGTTGTGGGAGGTCACCTAGGGACTTCTAGTTCTAATAGAAAGGAAGTCTGTTGCGTGATGCTGGCGCAGAAACCTGTTCCTATCTGAGTTCCCATTTACCTTCCGAGCGCAGCAGACATTATTTTGGCTGCTTCTCTATTGACAGGCTGGTAATAAGTAAACAAATAAATGGGTACACAGAATACTTGTATTGTGAAAGCATTGTATTCATTTTAGACAGTTTTTCTTACAATAAACAAACAGTGCACTTAAACTAGTTTTGGGATTTTGATATTTAGCTTAGCACAGAAATCTCCTTCAGTTCTTTATGAAGAATGAAATGTATGGCACAAGAGAAAATAGAGAAAATAACAGTTTTCATTCACATAA